GTGATATACAAATATAGTACATATATGTAAGTCTTATCACTCTTTTATTTAACATGATAAAATGTCTTTTTCTGACTTCATAAAATATTTTTCAAAAATATATTTTATAAAAGATGCATGATAATTCCATCACCACAATAATTTCCTAGAAGATATTGTTTAATAAACTATGGATTTTTTTCATTTCCAGTCACTTGAAGGTAGCAGTTAATTATTGGCTTATCTATCTCATGAATATGGTTCATAAATATGAGCCAAGTTCACTTAGTTATTAAAAGAAAAAAGAAAGAAGATATTTTATCCTGTTAAAAAGTTTTAATGTATGAATCCTTCACAAAGGATGTAAAAGATGTTTTCTTCTTTCCAGAGATGCTATTGTTAGAAAAACTCATAATCAATCTGAAGGTAAGTTCTCTTCACCAAATGCAATTGGTCCAGCTTTTTTCACTTGATCCATCTGAGGTGACAAAGGGAAAACAAACTGTTTCTCCCCATATGTGCTTGTAATGCAGATCAATAGTAATTCCAAAGATGTGCAGGGATTTTTCCCCATTAGAAAGTCATCAATCAGTTCTATGGTGAATATCAGCCAGGTGTCCAATTTCAATCCTGTTCTGAACTTCTACCTGGAAAGACTGTCAGATCCTACAAATTGAGGGATTAGACTACAGTCAAGAATCTGAGCCTCCAGACTGTCCGAACAACTGGTTACAAACTGGGACTCCTATCCTCTTCTCTTCAGGCTTGATTAATCTGCTAAAAGGGCTCATACATGTCTAGGAAACTGTGTATGTATATCAGAGAGAACTATGCGTGTGTTCACTGAGAATACAAGAGAATAGCCAGATGAAATGCTGCATAGGGCAAAGTTTATAAAGGTCTCCAGTGTAGGATCTTCTGTCCTCCTGCAGCTGGGGTGCACCACCTTCCTGAACATGTGTAAGCCTGGTTCATCATCCTGAAAGCTTCCTGGGTTCAGCTGTCCAGCAGCTCTATGAACCCTGTCCTTTGGTTTTTTAGGAGAATTTTATTGCACAAGCATGACTGAAGCATGGATAGATGTGTTGAAATGTAATTGGACAAAAGGGTATGACTTAATGCTAACAGACTGAGTAGGGAAACCAAGCAAAGCCTGTTTGTTCAGATTCTTCTTGGCCTCTATGCAGCATTCCTTTCTCCAGGGTATGGGGCAGGACCCCCTTGTGAAATGGCAGTGTTATGATCTATTTTCAGACAAAGCAGCTCAAAGAATTTATGAACAGCTCCAAGGCACGAAGGCAGGGGAAGACTAGAGTATATTAGCATTGGCCATCTTTTGGGAGAAAAAGAAACAAATGAAAGGAGGCCAGAAGAAGGTGGGGTGTGTGTGTGTGTGTGTGTGTGTGTGTGTGTGTGATTGACTGACTGATTTGCTTTCTGAGGCTGCCATCTGAGACCTAGAGTACTCCAATTTTATAGCCAAAGACTGCCTTTCACCTTTATCCTTCTGAAGCCCTCAGGAATCAAGACAAAAGGACAAATACTTTAACCTTATTGTTACAGTTATTTAGGAGGTAACTAGGGCTATGAGCCAGGAACACGAATGAAAATCAAAATATGTATCACCATGGGATGGTCCAGAATTCCAGAGATCTATTTATTAATTTATACAGAGATGGAAGACATGACCATTCCCTTAGTACCACAGGCAATGAAGTGGAAACAGCTGCAGCTGGATCTACGGATGTGGGAAGTAAACACCAGGGGTTGGAAGGATTTAGGGCAGTGCCGGAAATGGGTTGTCTCATAGTTCCTTCAACAACAGGAATTCACTGCCCCTGACTTTATGATAATGACTTGTCCTATTCCGTCTCTGCTTCTACTGTACTTTTGTTATTAATCACTTTACTCACCACTGTAGAGGTCTATCTAATGGCTTCAGTTTGCTTATTAATTGTCCTGCTTATGACTTCTCAACTCTTCTATTGCCTTACTTTCTAACTTTTGCTCCCACTATGGGAATTATTTTCTCTATTTCCAGTTCAACTCTTAAAAGAGAACGAGTTTGCTGGGTATGGTGGCACACACCTGTAATTCCAGCACTCTGGAGGTTGAGGCAGGAGGACAGCTGAGAATTTGAGGTCAGTATGGGCTATGTAGTGAGTTCAAGGTCAACCTGGACTACACAGCAAGACACTTGTCTTAATTTTTACTCATCGCTGAGACAAAATACCTGATGTTCAAAATTGGGAAAGGAAAGGTTTATTTCTTACAGATTTTGGAGGTTTCAGTCCATACTAAGTTGGCTCAAAGGCATGACAGGGCCACAGTTCATGGTGGCTGCAAACAGCAAGCCAGAAACTGGCAAAAGAGCAAGACGTGTCTTCATCCTGCCATTATATCACAACCTGGCTCCATCCCTATGTGGGTGCAGCAGTGACAGCATCAATCTAAGCACTATATAAGGAACCAATCACAGATGCATAATGTAAATGCATGAGGCTTGGGGGCCACCAACGTAAACCATGACAACACTGTTGCAAAAAAAAGAAAATGTTACTTAGTTGTTGTCAAATCGATTTTAATAGAAATTTATTTGAGCTATTTTTTCTTAAAGTTCCTGAAATTTAATATCATAAGGAAAGTATTCATGCTTTATAATGTTTGGATGGCCTTTTAAATAAACTTATTTTGAAGAAGATAAATGCATTTAAATAGTTAATATAGAATTGTACTCACAGATATCAGAGATCGGCAAAGATACATAGAAAAGTCTGGAATATGCTGTCTTTTAAAAAGTAGGTTAAAAGCATTTTAACAGAAACAGAATGTTCTCACAAGCCTTTTCTTTTGTGTTTTGTTACTAAAATATAAATGATTATGCATAATAGTTAACTGCACATTGTTATTGTTGGAAATTATCTTTATATGCACAAATTGTGACAGAGAGTGGATTACTAATATGAATTTGTACTTTGGTCTTACTTTAGTGGAAGATTTAACTTAGATTGATTTTTATTTTATCTCACCAGTACAAAATGGGAAGTGAAGTTGGGCAGTAAACTGCTTCCTGTCTTCTTGCAGGAAGAAAACAAATTGTACATACATAGGCAGATTTCAGTTTCTCTCCACTCAGTGCACTTTATGCAAACAATTCTGAATTAGCATTAGTAAAATGTTACAATGTCATCCCCTTGATCTTAACCCTGAGTGTATATTAGAACCATTTGGAAAGATTTTTTAAAAATTCCTGTTTTCAAGCTTCATCTTCCAATTTTCCGATTTGGTGTAGGGTGTGGTTTTGGCATTAATATTTTTGGAAAACATTCTCAGTGATTTTAATGGGCAGACAGAAAGCCACAAGGCAGGAGGAGAGAATCTATTCTTCCTGAATATTTTTGCTTGTATTCAAGGCAGTCTATTATCTATTCACAACTGAGCTTGTCAGGTTCTGGCTGGCCCAAATTGCTTGCTCTGTCCTCTGAACATTGTGCTTCCCATCTACTGTTTTTCTCCAAGTGTTCTAGGCGTTTCCTCTTCACTTTTTTCTGACATAATTCTTCCCCATTTTTCAAGACTCAGCTCAGTTTATAGCTTTTTTTTTTTTTTTTTTTTTTTTTGTACCGGGGAATTGAACTCCTGACCACATATTTGCCAGGCGGGTACTTGGGCCACTGAGCTAAATCCTCAGCTAGTTTAGATTTCTTTCATGAAAGCTTTTCTGACTACTCCTGACTGGAAGGATTGCTTCTTCTAGTAGAAAGTCATCTGAACAATGAATCAATTGTGTGCCGCTTTGTGTCATCTCTTCTATTGTTGCATTAAATGATTAATCTTTGCTTAACGTTTCACCTGTTTGTTATCCTGCGGTGTATGCTCTCATCTTCCAACATTTATTTGTATCCTTGACAAACCAGGTGTCTTGCACAGTGTAGGAAGCCAGTATTTCCTCCTACTTTCCATCTTGACTTTCACAGGTGTGGTTCAGGTCTCCTCCTGGAATCCTGCCCTGATCCTGATTGGCTTTCCTGCCACCAGACACCTGGTTCTTTAAATCAGCCCATCATATCAGTGGTCCACATGGCCGATGGCCAATAAAACTGATTGTGTGTCCAAACTGGTTTATTTTTCTTCTTTTTATGATCTATTTTAACCTTTGGCTTTCCTTCTGTCCCTACTGTTTTAATCCCTTATTCCCCAGAATTTGATGGCAAAATTTAACTTCTTAGGTTTTTCTTAGATGTCAGAATAAAACACACTAATGAGGGTCTTCCCATACTTATTCTTTTGTAAACACACCCATTCACCAGATTCTGGCTTGGAGGACCAAAACTATCACGTCAGTCTTCCCACAGTAATTCACTGTGATCTTTCAAGATTCCCCCCAAAGAAGATAGATTCGATGTTTGGACTTCTCACCTTTAAACAGAAATCTGATTGTGTAGGCCACATGTTGGAGAAAATAAAAACAGCCCATGAAAAGAAAATAGCGGAAATACACTATACAATTTTTCCAGGCTAAGGCCAAAGGCAATGATTAAGTAAGGAAGGGTTTTTGTTATCATTTAGCAAAAAAAAAAAAAAAAAAAAAAAAGCATCTTTTAAAGGAATCTAAAAGATTTGGATAAATGCTTATCACTTGAATTAGCTACTGGGAAGTAAACCCTCATATTCAATAAATTAAAATATATATATATTTTTTTATCTTACCTGGTGGGGCTTATTTTTCTCTGAGACCTTAAACCCTAAGGGCTCAGAGTTTAAGAGATCTTTACTGATTCCTTTCTTTAGCGGCCTCCAAGAAGCCTAGAGTCAATAATTTCCTCCAGGGGCCAGACCACGCCCATTCCTCAAACCAAACCCACTCAAATCTCCCCTCCCAACCCTCTCACGGCTCCGCCCCAAGTCCCCCAGCACAAGATTCTCATTGGTGAAGAAGTTGTTCTAGTCCCACCCCGGAGGGCGGCGATAGGCTGAACTGGCGTGGGGCGGTGGTGGTTGGCTGCCTGTGGACGGGTCTCTCTTCATGCCTGTCAGAGTGGCTGGAGGCAGTGGCGGCTCTCAGGGCTGGGTTGTCAGTCAGTGTGAGGTGGGGGAAGATGGCTCGCCGGGACCCAGTCTGCTAGGAAGAAGGGGGGCAGGTGGTGCTGCTACTCTGGAGGAAGCACAGCCCCGCCGTCGTGGTGGCTGCAAGCCGCTCAGGTCAGGTCGAGGTTCCGCAGTGGAGCTCCAGTAGCCACTCTGGTGAGTCCGGGGGAGCGACCCGCGCCGGGCCCCCAGGGCGGCCAGAGACGAGAACTTTTTTGTCAGGGAGGAGCCGGGGCGAGGCGGCGGCAGCTGCGACGGCGGCGGGGAGGAGACGGGACTTTGTCCCCGGCTGCGGCTTCGTTGCGGGTAACGGCTCCTGCGCGAGGCTCGGCGGGTGGGCTCCGGGCGGCGCCGGGCCGGGATGATGGGCTGCGGCCGGAGCCTGCTCGCCCCGAAGTTGGGCGCAGCTCGCCCGCTGCCTGGAAGGCGCCAGCCTTAAGCGCGCGGACCCGGACTCCCTCCTTCCCGGCGAGCAGCGGTCCGGCCCCGGTTGTGACCGGGTGCTGCAGCCTCGACCCCTCTGTAGGGTCGGCTCCTGTTGGGGACCCCCACCCCCACCCCCCTCCCTCCGTTGCTCCGGCCTCTGTTAGCCTTTTTGCCCTCTCAACTCTGGGGAGGCCACCGCTATCCGTCCAGTCTGCTGGCCAAGATGGTCCCTGTCGACCCCGCTCCTTTTTGAAAGCAGCTTTCTCCTCCTCCTTTGGTCTCGCGCGGGCCAGACAGGATCGGGAAGCAGCTACAATTTATTCCTTGGTTATTTACTACACTGAAGATCTCTGCAGCTCTTGCCTTCTTCATTTCACGAGTTACTCTTCTGAGGCTGATTTTATCCTACCCTAGAATCATTAGGGCTTTTAGTTAAAAAAATTGTTGCATTAAAGAACCCAAGTTTGTCAGTCTCAGCAAAACCGTATATCTGCCCTTCAGGGTGCACTTGTGCTTTGTACCCGCAGAGTTTAGGCACTCTTGAAAGATTTTAATTTTGCCCTAGTGGTTTCATACTGCACAAGACTGTTCTCTTAGAAAAACACTATCACACGCCTGGCAGCCGCTGCGTTTAGGTTAGGGGGAAGTTTGTTCCACTGGCAGCTACCCCTTATCTTAGAGACTGTACTATAGGCAGTAGGGCCCACCTGTCCTTGTACAAATTATTTGCCCTTTGGATTTCACAGTAATTTTTGGAACAAGTATGTCACATTTTTGATTCAAGTAACACTTTACAGTTGAGATTTTCAGTGTGTAAAATCTTAGCTGCATAAAGTCCTACAGATTAGTATAACCTTGTATCAGTGTGATAATCCTGGGAGATTTGTTTGTAGTGAATTTATGTATAAATAGTGAATATATATATATATATATATATATAAATGAATCTTAAGAAATCTTTAAAATCTCATTCAAGACTTTTTGAAGTGTCAAGTCAAACATAAATTGATGTTACATTGCCCTAGGCTTAGTAAGAACTAGAATTTAGAAATGAATGTCATAATTCTTGTCCTCAGAAATTGTGTAATGTATGAGGTGTTAGTAATATTATAGTAAAGGAACCTTTATCATACCTTGTAATAAATGTGAACAGAAATATATCTAGTGTAGTAAGGAGTGTAATGTAGGACATGGTCAGTTTACCTTGGATGTTGCTGAAATTGGGAGCACACAGCAGAATTTTGAAGTACAAGGGTTAATGAAGTGTTTTTCAGAAGGAGGATATAGTTTTGAGAGAAGGCAAAGAGGATGAGAAACCATGGAAGTGGGGAAGTCATTGACAGTAACAAGCCTGTGTTGACAGGTCAGTTGATAAGTCAACAACGTTGACATTGACATGGATTGATGCAAGTTTAGTAGGAAAATGGGGAGAGATGAGGATAGTGAGGGTGGTAAAGATCAGACCGCAGCATTCTGCTCTTAGCTAAAGAGACTGGATTGAAGGTGATGAATGAGAAGCCATTTATTAGATTTGTATTTTAGATTTTTAGTAAAATGACGTGGATCCTGATTGTCCATGTGGGAAGAAAGGAGGAACAATCAAGACTCTGAGGATTTGATTTAATTGGAAATGAGGAACACATACATTGATGAAAATGATAAGTTCTATTTTTGAGTTTGAGGAAGTGGTGGAACATTCAGCTGAGGATGTAAATAGGTATCTGGATCTACAGCTGTGGAATTTATAAAGGAAATCAGCAATAGAGAGAAGCTTGGGAGTTGAAAATACGTTGGTTTGGTTAAGTCCATTAACATGGTAAAAGTAGCAGCCAGAGAACTGCCTGATAATAGCAAAAAGAGAATGATCACAGAGGAATGTTCATTAGAAAGAAAGGTAGGAGAAACATCAAGAAAGATACTAAGGATAGAGACTTTCAAAGAGCGGAGGAATGGATCCACAATTTTGAATGCTGTAAAGTAGTATCAAGTATCAAGAGGACTCCAGTAACCTGTCTTTATTAGGAGTCCAGAACTGACTTTACTAAAGTACAGTTTTAGCTGGGTGGTGGTTTAGAAACTAGTCTTCAGAAGATTGGGCAAGTAAGGTAGTTAATAAATTAGTTGCCCGTGAGTGAGGCTTTTCAAGAAAACTGAAGTGAAAAGAGAACAGGATAGCTATGGAGAAGTGCCTCTCAATGTTGGTTACACATTTACAGTCTTTTGGAATGCTTTTAAGAATTTTGATTTCTAGAAGCCCCACCCTTATTCCAATGGCAGTGGGCTGGGCCTAAAATAAACAACGGTACTTATTTACAAAAGAGGTCTACAAATTATAATCAGCATGCAATAAACTACACATATTTAAAATGTGCAATTTAATGTCTGACATGTACACAACATAAAACCCTAAGTACAATTACAATTACAATTACATATCCACACCTCTTGAAAGTTTTCTTGTCTACCTTTGTAATCTTTCTCTCATCCCTAGGAAACCACTGGTCACTCTCATACTTTCTGTCAGTAAAAATTACTTGCACTGGTTTATATTTTTGTTTTTTTTACAGTTCTCTAAATGATTTCAATGTACATGAATGGTAGAAAACCACTGCAGAAGAATACTTGAAGGAATGTTATGTTTATTCACGTTCATAGGGAAAGTGAGAGTAGAGACAAAGTGATTCAGGAAAGATGAAGTAATTATTGAACTAGAAATGGAAGAAATTCAAAATTTTGATCAGTGAGATAAAAGAATTTTGAAAGCAATACCTCCAACAAAGAATGATATAAAAGATAATATATTTCTTTGTTATTAGCAGTATTGCCTTGTAATATCAAGATTGCATCCCTAAAGTCCCCCTCAGTATATTTAGAGAACTTAGAGAAAATCTTAATACTGTGAAAATGAAGGCCCCTCAGAAAAATCCCTTAAATGGAGCTTGAGACCCCTGGCACAACCATGTAATACTTTGTCATGTTTTGGAGGGGGGCAGATGGAATTAACAGTTTGTCTATTGCTTATTGTTAGAGCCAAGTACTGCCAGTCTTTTTGGCCCTCTCAGAGTTAGGCTGCACTGGAGAAACAGAACATTTAACACTTGAAAATCTCCTGTTTAAAGCATTTGGCTCAGAAGAAATCTTGCTTGCTTGCCCTTTAGATAGTACCTTATAAATTATTGAGGGCGAAAACTCTCCAAAAGCAGACAGAGAAGAGTTGTGACTAAAGTTGTCAAAAGCCCATTTACTTTTTATCCTAAAAAGGTAATATCTATGTTTTCTACCCCTACACTTTTATTTATAAAATTTGTGGTCAAGATTTGAATGTAAAGATGCAAACCTAACCTCATCTTTGAGCCTTGCCTTTGTTGGGGGGATGAAAGCAGAACGACTAATCTCTGAACATTATTTGGTATTTAACTTAATTATAAATAAAGGTGGAGTCAAACATTTTGTCTATCTCTGTCACTCTTTTTGGTTGTCTTATAGCTCTTAAAATTTCTTTCAATTATGTTAAAAAAAAATCCAAGTAGGACTTCCCACAGACAGGAAAGATATCCCTAATTCTGATGTAGCCTTAAAAAGGTAAGAATATCATTGTTAGTATAATTTTGAATACTGTTGTTACTACAGTCACAGCAATACTGTAGACATTCTGTATTTTCTTAATTACTATTATAATACATAGCTGTTTAGGAAATTTGGGAAATTTAGGACTACATCAATAATACATAACATTTTTAATGTTTTTACCCAGAGATACTTATTATTAACATTTGAGTGAATATCCATGTAGGACTTTTAAAATGAGTGTTTATGTTTTTTTAAACACAAAGAAACCATTTTTTTTTGTCATTTAAAAATTTTGGGCCAGGCATAGTAGTGCATGCCTACAATCTCAGCACTGGGAGGCTGAGGCAGGAGAATCCTTAAGAGTTTGAGGCCAGTCTGAGTTACAAAGTGAATTCAAGGCCAGCGTGAACTTGATAGTGAGACCTTGTCTCAAAAAGACACACACACATTAAACATGGCATTTTGTTACTAGTTTGTATTCACTTAATAGTTTATGAATGCTTACTCAGGTCAATAAAATATTATTCTTTACTACAAAATATAGTGTGTAGCTAATATTCTGGTTATAGATTTGCTACAGTTTATTTAACCACCTTAATGGTTTTTGAAAATTTAAGCTCTTTTCAATAATTTTGAATGAATAACAGTTAGCTTCTTGATAGGTTAAATATTGCCCATGTCTTTTCCTAAGGATAGTCCTGAAGTACTAAGGTATGCATCTTTAAATGATTTTAATAGATGGGTTTCAGAAAGCTTGAATGATTTCATCTGTATTAGTTGTGCTTGAGTGTGTCCACATCTTTTCCACAGTTAGCACTAGCAATTAACTCTCATTTGACAGTAATCTTCTATAATTGTTATTTCCAAATACAAATATTTATATTTTTTCATGAATTATGTTAGTTTCCTTTGTCTATTATGCTACTGAAGATTTTTAAAAACTGAATTATGAGAGCTCTTTGTAGCTTTGTTACACCTTTGTTAGATCCACTGTAAATAATTTCCCCATTTTTAAATTTACATTCTGATTTTGTTTTTGGTATGTTTTTCTTTTTAAGCAGACTTTTAACATTTTAATATGGTTAAGTCTAACAAGATTATTCTTTTAGGCTTAGAAAAGCCTTTTCCATTCCATATTATGTAACTATCCACTCTATTTC